TAGTCTTTCATTCTCCGATCTCCAGCCAAAGGTGCTGTATACACTCGTGTCGCGCCGTGAAATTGTCACGGCAAATATACTCAGGCCGGACTGCACATCTTTCAGCAAATTGCCTTAAATGAGTGGAGAGAGGCATGTTTGACGCAACAATTGTGTTGGTGAAGACACAAATCACCCGACTGCAAGCTCAATAGACTTACGGCAGAAACGGGACTCGTTGAACAAAAGGAAACCGCCTCGCCAACTGCACGCGAATCCGCCGTTCACATAAAAGGCAGTCTACAGTTTACAAAGGAAAGAAAGGCAAAACTGACATGGCACAAAATCACAAGCAAATGATGCGTTGAAATACGTCAGCATTGTTCGCCATGAAAAGTAATGCTGTGCCAACATTTGTAAAAGCAATACAGACCCAAGTTCTACTGTTCGAGACTTGAACACCGAATCGGAGTTCTATCTGTGATTGTCCTTTCAGGAACCGAGAAAGTGGAGCTGATGTCCGCAAGTCGATTTCACCTGTATGCAAAGCAACTTCGCAAGTATACCTCATGACTTGCATTTCCATACTCATGCACATGAAGGCCTCAGACATTAAATGGACCGCGTGGACCATCGGAAAGGTAATGTCTTCAAATGAAATGCATTGGCGATGTCGTTTGATTAGGGCATGCATCGCTCATCTTGTACAACGAGTCCTGCATGTTACTCTTAAACCCTGCACCACTTACCCATCGGTGACCTCCAAGCAGTACAATTGGCCACGAAGAATGTCGTTGAAAATAGAGTTCCGTCAACCCATACTTGCAATCCAGCCTGTCTAGACACGTCGAGCAGCGTAATGTCTGCAATTCCTAAAAGCAAACGCCGTTCGCCTACAGCGGCCGAATGATTTAGCCACATTCTTTCCGTCTACGCACGGAGTTTGTGCATTTCCTACTACCGTTTGCACACAAAATCAACTTGATTGAGTTCACCTTGTTAAAAAGGCAATATTTTGAAGATCTGTAACGATTGCAACTTGAATGTTCCTTATTATAAAAGGCAAACAATTAACTGATGAGGAGTGGACGTAGAGAAGAGGAGGT